CCATCCATTTCCATATGTATTACATTGATAAACCAAGAAACCAACTCAACATTGTTTGGAATCTTAATGCTTGTTATTTCAACTTCCTACTAGGAAGCAATCAAGCTAGATGCAGCAATATTTGAAGGACTTTTAGAAAAAACTCTTCCTCAGGTATCCAAACACATGGTAAGATCATTATATCTCAGCACTACACTATGGAAACCACTATCTCAGTGTGTGGTAAAACTTCRTCTTCTTATAGTATTACTTTTAATCTTTGGGAAACAATTTTTCTTGTTTTATCAGAAAACTCACAGGATAGATGCATTGATGTACATGACAGAGTGGTTTATGTGTATTTTAGCAAGGTAARCATTGCATTATGCACTGTAAATTTTGTCTCTTTGCTGAAATTTAGCTTCCATAGGAGTATTACAGGTAAGTTATAAGTTGTCTACGTAAAATAGTATTGAGATGTCTACTATGGGAGGCTTTGTTTTTAATTGATGAATTGTACAAGCTCTATAATTGTAAAACTTTATGTGGTCCTTACTAGTGTCTGTCTGGTTTGATTTCTAAGTCAATGAATCACATCCTGTTGTTTGCATTCTTTACATAGAAACAAGATTAATTATTTAATAACCTTCCTTTAATTTAACAGAAACATCCCCTTTGCAACTGTTCTCCGTGTWTGGGATATGTTCTTTTGTGAAGGTTGGTGCTCACTTGAAGTATACTTCTTTGTTTGGACTAACTTTTGTTCYRTTTTCTTTCCCTGCAGTAATGAATCTGTATCTTGTCTTTCAGGAATTAAAGTTATATTCAGAACCTCACTTGCCATGGTTAAACTTATACTGACACCAAAGGTGCTTCCACAATGTCCAGGGTTAGTTGATGTGCAACTTGTAATGAATACACAATGTTTGAGTAGGGTAAAACGTCTTATCAATAGCTGATTTGTGAACTTCAAGACGAGGCACCGTGCATAAAGCTCAGTCAATTGTGAAAAACTATTGTCTTTTTACGAATGACTGAGCTTTATGCACAGCGCCTCGTCTTGATTCCTTTGTGTCTGACTACAGAGGCAAAATTCGCAAGTCGGCTATAGAGAAAAACCATGAAGTCAAAATTAATATGATCCATTCTTCAGGTTAAAAAATAGAAATAATTGATATTCCACTGATTTCATAATGATTTTTATTATTTTTAGCTATGACCCATTGATGTTTTTACTTTTTTTAAACAGATTGTTTGAAACAACTGAAAAATTTCGCCATCTTGAAAACATGCAGGAAGATGTACTCATACCTGTGGTAAATAAATAACAATCAATTTTATCAGATAAGCAACCATCCTGTAGTAGCGAATTGCTTTTAAATTGTTGTTCTTCATGTGTTTTTTTTTCAGTCTCTGTCACTTAAACTGTCAGCCAAAGATATGCGTAAAGAACATGAACACCAAGTTAGCAATCAATCAAAAGGATCTAATAAGAGATAGTAGAATAYTATAAGATAGTAGAGTAGATTGCAATTAATATATCTTTCACTGAGTCTGCTAACAAAATTAAGCAATATTAGCACAAAGTGTTTTTCAGATGTAATGAATGGACTCTCCCATAGAAATGGCTAAATTTCAAAATAATAGTAATATATTTCTATCCTTACTTGAATCTCAAAGTATGAAATTCATTRCTTTCTTTTTTTTACAATTTTCAAGAATTATTTATGTCAATTTTTAACTTTTTTGGTTTCAAAGCTAAAAAATATCAGGAATTAAGATAATATATCAGCTGGTACCTTTATTCTGCTGGCAGAATTAATTWATCTTATTAATTAATCATTAATTTTGAGGGCTGTCAATACTCATATTTCCCAGCACAATCTTGAAGGGTAGCATCCAGTTCAAGTAAACCTTTCAAGATAACATTGGKAGCCGAGTATGGACATTTTAGACCCCTTGTTTGTGGGAATGCAACTATACAACTGGAGGACAAAACAATGGGTTCTAGTTCCCTTTTTTTCCCATCCAGATGAAGCTTCTTTGACATCACATGCAAGTGGTCTATAGCCATTGTGTATCCTTACTATAATCACAAAAAAGAGCGAACTGAGACTGACTGATGGATTACAATCTATAATTCCATCCTAGGATTGAAAATAAAGCAAGAAGTTTTATTGTAGTAAGATAAAATATGTAAATACACTACCATCGGATGGTCTGATTGGAAATTGATTATTTATTTCATTATTTTAATCATGATTGACCTCACTGCAATGTTTGATATAAAACAATCTTATGTATAGTAATGATTGTGTATTTTAAARTTGATTATAGAATTTATAATTTTTAGGAAAAAATTGTGGAAAATTCATTCACAATTTTAATTTTAGATTAATATATGCAATAAAATTAATATTTGACTGTTTGATATTTATATGCATTCAAGCAACATCTACTCTTAGTAGTTTTTTCAAGTTTAATTGAGCAAAAGAAAGTGAGATATATTCCTGGACAAAATCATGCCAAAACTATTTTTTTAGGTAAAAAGAAATTTCTACAGATTTTTGAGATATTCTTGTGATGGTCTGTTTATCAAGTCACTTTCATTATGAGCATATGGACATTGATCTGTTTGTAAAACACATCCATCTGGATGATTAAAATGAAACCAGCACAGTGAGGTATTGCGCAGAGCRTCATAACGTCTCTTCAAGTATTCATGGTCTCCAGTTGTCAGCTTGGGGCCTGGTAACTGATCTCTCCAGTCTTGGAGCTCAACAATGCCGCCAACAACTAATAATGAATATAAAAGTAGTTATAAAGTGTTGTATGTGGAACCACAAAGGGAATAAGGGCTAATGCATTAATAAGGAGAAGCAGATTATTGAGCAATTGTTTAAAAAAAGTTAAACTGAAAAGTGTTGAAAAAGAGCTTTGGCACTTCGGGAATTAAAACACAAAAGATTGTATTCTTCCTATCTTCTTAATAATCTCAAGATCTCATGATAACTATTTTGCAATTAGGTATATTTCATGAATATTGCAATTCCCTGTGTATAACCCATGAGCAATATTTTATTAATATTATTGTTTAAAAGATATATTATGGCTGGTTATTTTGGTACCTTTGAATATAAACCGATGGTTACGCAGTAAGGTTTGTATCCCACCACATTCATTTTTTAATTTCTTTAGTGTATCTTTRTCAAACAACTTTGCAGCTTCTGATAATGCTATAGATCCTCCTTTTCTCCATATTCTGAGTGGTTTCCCTGTACTTGTTAGTTTGTGTTCACCTTCACAACAGCTATTATTATGGTCTTTCTTCAATAAAGCTTGTAATATAGTACCAACAATAAATTCTTTTAGTGATTTGCTGAGTTGTGAGCAATTCTTCACTTCTATCCTTTGCTCCCTTGGCTGGAAGGCATTGTGAGATGAATGTTCAGAAACAAGAACAGGTTTTTTGCAAGGAGGTCCTCCATCAATATCCTCTGAATCATTGGAACATTTTACTTTAGTTTCAATACTTTTTTCTGATTCAGATAATGTGTCATGAGTTTCCCTGGTAGGGACATCATTGGTAGACTTGGTTGATATTTGAAATGTTTGTGGTTGCTGTCCAGAGTCAATATCACAACCTCTTTCTCTTATTAAATTCTTGATTTTAGTTTCCATGATGTCCTTGTGTTCCTCTGGGTATGTTCTAGATTGACCTATCTGGCAAATCTGTTGAAAATATATAATTAAGATAACACCTTTTGTCCACTTTTCCTCGCTATTCCCAGGCTTCCCTCTATCTCTTGTACCTTTATGCACAACCTCTTGAGGGAGATAGCTGGTAAATGAAACATATACTTACTCGTTTTGTTGATGGTATTCTYAACATGTCTTCTTCTACTTGAAAACCACAGCTAATCCCAACATGGTTGACAAACTCTAGGTAGCCATGATACTGTGATAACTTGTTGTTTTTGCGAACATACTAAAAACAGATAAATTAAAAAAGAACATAAAAAAATCATATCTCTACTAATTTTCATATAGTACTTACTACATTTTCACAGAGAGGAAAGCATAAATCAAAATAATCAATATTGTAATGCAATTGATATTTCTGATGTCATTCTTGCAGTCCCAGGTTAAAAAAATGCCAATGAGTAGCAGCCATTATTTCACAGTCATAAGAAATCTGCTGTATCATTTCTACTCACCTTACAATTGAAGTCATAAAAGCAACAAGGCAAAACAAAGTATCTTGTATGATAAGATGATCTAAAAGGGATTGAAATGAGATGCATGTTACTCTTTTAGATAATGGTACTGTCTGTTCTAATCCCAATAACAYACCTTGCAGCCATGACTGGTATCCATGGCGTTAACTCGTCAGAATGATTCCCAATCAACCAATCCACTTTAGGAAATAGACCAGCAACTGTTGGATCTAGAGGCCTTTCCTGAAAGAGACAAAGTCCTATTTTATGATCAACCAAAATTATATAGAAAAGCAAAATACATAGAATAACTCACCTCTAATGGTACCTCAGGACCATACAGATCCCAAATCCTCCTCCTTCTGACATCAATGCCTGAGCCAGGGTACTTAAGAATCATTATAGTTCATAATAAGAGAATATACATGCAATACTTTAATTATCAATTATGATTATATGCCTACCCCCTCTTTACAAAGGATATATACCAAAAGACCATTGCCACATCCTAAGTCAACAAAACTTTGTTTTTCTTTTAAATTCATCCTCTCTCTTTCTACTTCCCACAGGATCTGGAGAGGAAAAAGCAAGATATTAAATAATCAAGAGGTTTGGAAATGACTTCACTCATATTGTACTGTATGAAGTATTGCTTTGCTTTACACTGCTATACAACTGGCCAGGAAACAATATTTTGGAAATTCAATTTACATTATGGATATAGTATTATAGGTAATTAAAAAAATTGTAAGACTTCTCTCTAACTAAAACACTGTACTTACAATCAAATATGTAGCTATGGCAATATCTTCAAAAACAAATTTTTGTGGATCAGTGTTTTCTGGCCATTTCTAGGAAAAAATGTGATGCCAGTCAGTACATGATAGTTAATATTAATATTACTAATATTCCTATTAAAATAGTACAATGAAATAGGCAAAAATAACCTTGACAAGATCCCAGCCATATTTCTCCTTCAAAGTCTGGTATAATATGGTATATCGCTCCAAAGAAATCAATCTTAAGGATCCTTTAGATTTATTCTCTGGATTCTCTGCCCACTTGTTCAGTTTTGGTAAAAGCTGATCCCTAAGCCATTTGATTGATGGACAGACAATGCCATCACCTCCTTTATTATCTGATGGGAATCTTGCCAATGCATTCTCAGAAATGTGCAATGTAATKCTAAATTGAAAAACAGAACAATGACTGCTCATAAGCAAGAATGCATAATAATTGCCACTAATGCAGATCTTCATACACATTTCATGTGCAAGTTTTGCGACATCTGTCAATCCAATTTTAACAAATCATGGGAAATGAATGAGTATTGCTGTACCTAATATCAGTGTCAGAATACTGCAAGTATGAAATTTTATATGGCATCACTTCTGTATGGTTGTTTTGCTGACCATCATTGAAGGCTTCTTTCTCAGGCTTCTCAGTGCATACCGGCATGAATAAAACCTCTTTTTTTATCTTGTCTGGATATAATCAAACACCATGCAAATAAATATCAAACGGTGATTCAAGTTGAAAATGGTTATTTGAATTCAAGTAAGTGTGCAAGCAGCGACCAATTCAAACAATACAAAAAATCGATTACCTACAAGAACAAGCTCCACAAGTCTATCGCTTTTAGCCATTAAACGAGGAAGCAACCTCCTTAGTATTATTTCAATTGAGCTGTTTTCATCAATTGGATTACTTTCCCCAACTGCACCATCAGTGTTTGAATATCCATCGATTTTAGTACAAACATCGCACGATCCTATGCTACAGTCAGACATCACAAATGCCATCAGTTCCTTACAAAATGAACGTGACAAAAAGGTATTCCTAAGAGTCAAAGAACCGCTCAATCGCCTATTAACAACATGTGGCTTTTCAATCCAAACCTTTATAGACTTAAAGAAATGTTGTACAGTAGATTGTGTGGTAATTTCATGCATTTTTGACCACAAAATTTGACCTAAACTTTCGTTCATTTTGTCCGCCATCTTGATTTTGCTCACCGAGTAATACTGGAGACTACTCGTACCCTTCTCGTACCCAATCTTTCCTAACCCGCGGGACATTCAAAATGGCTGGTTTGTTTCTGCTGTGTTCTGGTTTCTGTACTTTTTATGCTATTAGCAATGCTATTTTAGGGATAACTTGCACCGTCTTATTACCACTATATTTATCGTTCTGTGGCCCTGAAGCTACAATTAGATTCTCGTTGCTTCTAATCATTCACGCTTTGATTCTCGCTTGCATCCCACAGTTTTTGGTAAGCGCTCTTCTTTGAGTTGTGTTGGATTTATGGTGTTATAAATCATACACATTTTGTTTGTCTATACAGAAATCCTTGATTCCCATGGTGCAGCTTGTACTTCTTCTAGCACTGCTATTTCTCCCTATTAATGTGACACCATTTGTAGCTGTGTGGATTTATGAGAAGCTCCTGTATTTAGCCGAGCCAGTCATATCAATAATTGAAGCATTACAGGTTGTATTAGCTATTAATTATGTCAGCCAGTCATTGGTCGACGAAATTGAGGATAGTCCCACATTTGTTAAGGTATCTTAAAATGGAAATCGGAAGATATGTTTCAAAACTCTAAATGACATCTTTTTTCCCATCTAGTCAACTATACTAGGGATTGCATTTACTTCATATTCTCTTGTACTGTGGATCAGCTATGGACTCTTTACTGATGATAGTACTAGCATTCTGGAAAAATGGTAATGATACCCTACATAGATGAATAAATGGGTTTATAGGAAGCAAGGATTAATTCCCTTTTCCATGGAGAAAACTTAACATGGTTACAAGAGGATACCCTCTAGGTATTTTGAAAAAAAAAACTGGTAGACGCCAGCATTCCAGTGCCTCACTTGTGCCCCCTGTTCTAGACTAGGCAAGGTTACGGTAACCCCCCAATCCAAAACAGAAGAGTATGTCATCATAATAGGGTAAAATGGACAAAACATGCAATCAATATTTATTTGCATGTAAATATACTTCTAATAATGTTAATCAGTGTAGTCTGATATAGTATAGTACTCTACACAGGCTCATTATTGGTTGCAGGATTTTGTTCATAGTTCTTTTGGCAACAGTGTCTGTTCTTATTGTTTGTGTAATTCAAGAAGAAGGTAAAGAAATATTATAGTTTGAATATGAAACATTTCCTTGTATGAAGGAAAACATGAACAAAAAATGAATGAACAGTAGAATTGATGAAAGAATGAAAATGAATGATGATAAGATGAATTAATTATTGAATTATTCAGGGATAATATCTGATGCTGCTGTGGTGTCATTAATAATGGTGTGTGTATTATGGGCCATGAAACAAGAACGAATTATGACAACAAATCCACTTCAAATCCCAAGTAAATGGACTGAGTAAGTCACATTTAGTCCACACTTAATTTTAGTAATGTTTRTACTTCAAAATCTATGCAACGTCTCTTTTCTTTCTAGTTCGCTTGGAGGGAGATCATTCTTGTGGGTGCTCAATTCAATGGCATCTTCTAGTCTGAGTAAGACTTCAATACTTTGACTCCACTTCTCCTATAAAAATACATTGTAAATTTTACTTTAGAAATCAAAAGCGACATTACAACGATGGTCGTGAGCAAATTCTCTAGCGCTTTACAGGCTTTACGTTCATACTAGATTACTTAATTATAGCTCACAAAGGTGAATAAAAATATCGGTTATGAACGTAATATGAAGCCAGATAAAAAGAACAGAGAGAGAAAAAAAAGTTGGAAAAGTTGAAAGAGAGAGATCTAAGCATGCGAATAAAATGCGCAAAGAGCCGAACACCCGCAAACGTAAAAGTTGTAGGATTAATGAATCTCTTAAAAGCATACCAGGAAAAAACAAGAAATAGTAATACGTGTTAATTAATGAATAATAATAAAATACTAATAATAAAAGCTAATAAAGGCATTGTTTTTCAGCTCATCTTGGCCAAGCCCAAGTAATCTTGCGTAACCTGTTATCTSCAACATATCTCTTGCTGGCATTTACCAGGGTTGGAAGTGTTCTCGGTTGTTTGTGTGTTATCAGAAATGCTTTTCTTCAGGTATGATTTTAATTGCATCTCTGAACTCCCCTGGGTGATTGGGTTTTTTTAAAAAAAACCTGAGGGTGGTTTTGGAAACGTCGCATATAACGTTCAAAGCTATTTCTCTACGTAATCTACCAGATCTACATTGTACTGTACTTTCCTAACTCCTCAAATCCGACAAAACGCGGACTCTGATTGGTCAATAGAATGATTCCAAAAGTGAGATTCCTTTACCCATCGTTATCTCTAGGAACAAGATGAGGTTGATGAAGATTTCTCAGAAATAACTAAGACAACCTCGCCAAACTTCTGGACGCCTACATGGAACTCTCTTGTGGTTCGTCTGGTGTTTATCTTYGTGTACACAGAGTTCTTGTTACGGTCCATGCTCATTTCYACTCAACATTCAATTCATTTAACCTTTAATATTTTACCTAACTGGATAAGCTCTCTGTTGTTTGAGCTTTGTTATAAGGTTCGAGTGTGGAGGATATTCCAGTTATTTGTTACTATGATGACCTATTTATACATCTTATTGTATCCTAGGGAATCATGAATGCCGTAGCAATATTGAGTATACACTAAATGTTGTCGGGTCGCAAAAAGACGTCATATCATCAAAGCTAGCACCGAATGGAATTTTAGCTTACTCAAAACTTCGAATCATATTTGCCTAAACATGTAACAACATAAAAGTAAAATTCGATGAGAAGTTGCTATTTTACTCATTGAAGGCAATCTTTTTGAACTGAAACACTGTTTTGCTCATGATATTTGCCATGCTCTCTTTCGGTCTTAGCTTCAATGGTGTAACATTTTGGAATCGACTACATTTTTAATGTATTAAAATAGATCATATTATTCTTCGTTTTCAAGGTACCTCACAGCGGCCATCTTGGAGGAACCTCAACAAAAGATTTTATATTAGAATCTATTGTTCATTCCTCCAACATGGCCGCCGATCTTTTATCTTTTGAATCTCCTGGGAATGGTTGAAAACGATCAATAATAAAAAAAGACATATTATATGGATGACAGACGATGCTGGAATTGTTATGTAGAGAAAATATATAGAAAACTACTTCAGTCGTCAAGCAAGAAAAGGTATTTAATGTAAAAAAGGCCTGTAAATTTACAAATTAAACTATATAAAAACATCGTGTATGAAAAAGTATACATGCAGTAACTATGCAATGGTATTAATTAGTTCATTAATTAGTCATTATTGCGATCAATAAACTTTTGTAGAGACTACGGTGACATCTGAGGAATCAGTCTAGAACTTATTAACAACAAAGCCGTCTAGCTTTTAAGCATATCCATACGAACCAGTAAATTTGAAAGGCTTTTTTTCGGGAATGCACTTCGGACCATCTGGGGTTCCAAACCTTTCAACTTTCGCGTCGGTAAATTTCTTGTCCTTTGGTGTGATGACAATGGCGTCCCTTGAGCGCACAGATGGATCTTCATCAAAGAAGTTGAAAGGWCGTAAAAAGAAGCCCGCTGTATTTCCCGCCGTTGCCGTATTTGGAATGTCTTCCGTGTGAGGTACGTGCATCATTCCTGTTGTTACCCAGGCAACCAGGTCMTCATTTTGAATATTCTCGTTATCAGCATAAAATGTTTGGAAATCAACTTCAGGTTCATATGGATCTATCTGATTGAATATGGAACTGCTACACATTTCACTTTCTTTATATTTGGTGACGGCCATCTGGTACAATGCCCAATTGCATGATTTCATCAAAGGAAGCGATTCTGGGTAAATTTGTTTCATGATGTCACGGAGCTGAATGCGATATCCGCGGTGCTGGCCGGTCCTAGTGAGGTTGGATTCACTATAAAAGTTGAGATATTTGGGATGATCGAAGTTGTAGTTGTATAATGCATCTTTTTCGGTAGTTTTGATACTTCGGCGGAGGACCTGATTCACAATTAACAATATATTAGCAAATAACGAGAAATTACTGTAATGATTAAGTGGTTTTTATTAACCCGTGAAACAACCACTTTTTTATTCTTTCTTTTGCAAGTTTTTTCTTTGTCTTTTCGTTTATTTTTTACATGTTATTTCATTTTGACATAGTAAACTATGATTTTGACCATTACATATTGCTTCCCGGGTTCAAGAAAACCACTCTATGTTAGTCAGCTAGCAGGACTTAAATCCGACCAAACGATTTATGACATGAAAAACACTGTCAATCAAATTACCAACTAATTAATCAACCGATCGGCTGANATATTATTGTTTAAAAGATATATTATGGCTGGTTATTTTGGTACCTTTGAATATAAACCGATGGTTACGCAGTAAGGTTTGTATCCCACCACATTCATTTTTTAATTTCTTTAGTGTATCTTTATCAAACAACTTTGCAGCTTCTGATAATGCTATAGATCCTCCTTTTCTCCATATTCTGAGTGGTTTCCCTGTACTTGTTAGTTTGTGTTCACCTTCACAACAGCTATTATTATGGTCTTTCTTCAATAAAGCTTGTAATATAGTACCAACAATAAATTCTTTTAGTGATTTGCTGAGTTGTGAGCAATTCTTCACTTCTATCCTTTGCTCCCTTGGCTGGAAGGCATTGTGAGATGAATGTTCAGAAACAAGAACAGGTTTTTTGCAAGGAGGTCCTCCATCAATATCCTCTGAATCATTGGAACATTTTACTTTAGTTTCAATACTTTTTTCTGATTCAGATAATGTGTCATGAGTTTCCCTGGTAGGGACATCATTGGTAGACTTGGTTGATATTTGAAATGTTTGTGGTTGCTGTCCAGAGTCAATATCACAACCTCTTTCTCTTATTAAATTCTTGATTTTAGTTTCCATGATGTCCTTGTGTTCCTCTGGGTATGTTCTAGATTGACCTATCTGGCAAATCTGTTGAAAATATATAATTAAGATAACACCTTTTGTCCACTTTTCCTCGCTATTCCCAGGCTTCCCTCTATCTCTTGTACCTTTATGCACAACCTCTTGAGGGAGATAGCTGGTAAATGAAACATATACTTACTCGTTTTGTTGATGGTATTCTCAACATGTCTTCTTCTACTTGAAAACCACAGCTAATCCCAACATGGTTGACAAACTCTAGGTAGCCATGATACTGTGATAACTTGTTGTTTTTGCGAACATACTAAAAACAGATAAATTAAAAAAGAACATAAAAAAATCATATCTCTACTAATTTTCATATAGTACTTACTACATTTTCACAGAGAGGAAAGCATAAATCAAAATAATCAATATTGTAATGCAATTGATATTTCTGATGTCATTCTTGCAGTCCCAGGTTAAAAAAATGCCAATGAGTAGCAGCCATTATTTCACAGTCATAAGAAATCTGCTGTATCATTTCTACTCACCTTACAATTGAAGTCATAAAAGCAACAAGGCAAAACAAAGTATCTTGTATGATAAGATGATCTAAAAGGGATTGAAATGAGATGCATGTTACTCTTTTAGATAATGGTACTGTCTGTTCTAATCCCAATAACAYACCTTGCAGCCATGACTGGTATCCATGGCGTTAACTCRTCAGAATGATTCCCAATCAACCAATCCACTTTAGGAAATAGACCAGCAACTGTTGGATCTAGAGGCCTTTCCTGAAAGAGACAAAGTCCTATTTTATGATCAACCAAAATTATATAGAAAAGCAAAATACATAGAATAACTCACCTCTAATGGTACCTCAGGACCATACAGATCCCAAATCCTCCTCCTTCTGACATCAATGCCTGAGCCAGGGTACTTAAGAATCATTATAGTTCATAATAAGAGAATATACATGCAATACTTTAATTATCAATTATGATTATATGCCTACCCCCTCTTTACAAAGGATATATACCAAAAGACCATTGCCACATCCTAAGTCAACAAAACTTTGTTTTTCTTTTAAATTCATCCTCTCTCTTTCTACTTCCCACAGGATCTGGAGAGGAAAAAGCAAGATATTAAATAATCAAGAGGTTTGGAAATGACTTCACTCATATTGTACTGTATGAAGTATTGCTTTGCTTTACACTGCTATACAACTGGCCAGGAAACAATATTTTGGAAATTCAATTTACATTATGGATATAGTATTATAGGTAATTAAAAAAATTGTAAGACTTCTCTCTAACTAAAACACTGTACTTACAATCAAATATGTAGCTATGGCAATATCTTCAAAAACAAATTTTTGTGGATCAGTGTTTTCTGGCCATTTCTAGGAAAAAATGTGATGCCAGTCAGTACATGATAGTTAATATTAATATTACTAATATTCCTATTAAAATAGTACAATGAAATAGGCAAAAATAACCTTGACAAGATCCCAGCCATATTTCTCCTTCAAAGTCTGGTATAATATGGTATATCGCTCCAAAGAAATCAATCTTAAGGATCCTTTAGATTTATTCTCTGGATTCTCTGCCCACTTGTTCAGTTTTGGTAAAAGCTGATCCCTAAGCCATTTGATTGATGGACAGACAATGCCATCACCTCCTTTATTATCTGATGGGAATCTTGCCAATGCATTCTCAGAAATGTGCAATGTAATGCTAAATTGAAAAACAGAACAATGACTGCTCATAAGCAAGAATGCATAATAATTGCCACTAATGCAGATCTTCATACACATTTCATGTGCAAGTTTTGCGACATCTGTCAATCCAATTTTAACAAATCATGGGAAATGAATGAGTATTGCTGTACCTAATATCAGTGTCAGAATACTGCAAGTATGAAATTTTATATGGCATCACTTCTGTATGGTTGTTTTGCTGACCATCATTGAAGGCTTCTTTCTCAGGCTTCTCAGTGCATACCGGCATGAATAAAACCTCTTTTTTTATCTTGTCTGGATATAATCAAACACCATGCAAATAAATATCAAACGGTGATTCAAGTTGAAAATGGTTATTTGAATTCAAGTAAGTGTGCAAGCAGCGACCAATTCAAACAATACAAAAAATCGATTACCTACAAGAACAAGCTCCACAAGTCTATCGCTTTTAGCCATTAAACGAGGAAGCAACCTCCTTAGTATTATTTCAATTGAGCTGTTTTCATCAATTGGATTACTTTCCCCAACTGCACCATCAGTGTTTGAATATCCATCGATTTTAGTACAAACATCGCACGATCCTATGCTACAGTCAGACATCACAAATGCCATCAGTTCCTTACAAAATGAACGTGACAAAAAGGTATTCCTAAGAGTCAAAGAACCGCTCAATCGCCTATTAACAACATGTGGCTTTTCAATCCAAACCTTTATAGACTTAAAGAAATGTTGTACAGTAGATTGTGTGGTAATTTCATGCATTTTTGACCACAAAATTTGACCTAAACTTTCGTTCATTTTGTCCGCCATCTTGATTTTGCTCACCGAGTAATACTGGAGACTACTCGTACCCTTCTCGTACCCAATCTTTCCTAACCCGCGGGACATTCAAAATGGCTGGTTTGTTTCTGCTGTGTTCTGGTTTCTGTACTTTTTATGCTATTAGCAATGCTATTTTAGGGATAACTTGCACCGTCTTATTACCACTATATTTATCGTTCTGTGGCCCTGAAGCTACAATTAGATTCTCGTTGCTTCTAATCATTCACGCTTTGATTCTCGCTTGCATCCCACAGTTTTTGGTAAGCGCTCTTCTTTGAGTTGTGTTGGATTTATGGTGTTATAAATCATACACATTTTGTTTGTCTATACAGAAATCCTTGATTCCCATGGTGCAGCTTGTACTTCTTCTAGCACTGCTATTTCTCCCTATTAATGTGACACCATTTGTAGCTGTGTGGATTTATGAGAAGCTCCTGTATTTAGCCGAGCCAGTCATATCAATAATTGAAGCATTACAGGTTGTATTAGCTATTAATTATGTCAGCCAGTCATTGGTCGACGAAATTGAGGATAGTCCCACATTTGTTAAGGTATCTTAAAATGGAAATCGGAAGATATGTTTCAAAACTCTAAATGACATCTTTTTTCCCATCTAGTCAACTATACTAGGGATTGCATTTACTTCATATTCTCTTGTACTGTGGATCAGCTATGGACTCTTTACTGATGATAGTACTAGCATTCTGGAAAAATGGTAATGATACCCTACATAGATGAATAAATGGGTTTATAGGAAGCAAGGATTAATTCCCTTTTCCATGGAGAAAACTTAACATGGTTACAAGAGGATACCCTCTAGGTATTTTGAAAAAAAAAACTGGTAGACGCCAGCATTCCAGTGCCTCACTTGTGCCCCCTGTTCTAGACTAGGCAAGGTTACGGTAACCCCCCAATCCAAAACAGAAGAGTATGTCATCATAATAGGGTAAAATGGACAAAACATGCAATCAATATTTATTTGCATGTAAATATACTTCTAATAATGTTAATCAGTGTAGTCTGATATAGTATAGTACTCTACACAGGCTCATTATTGGTTGCAGGATTTTGTTCATAGTTCTTTTGGCAACAGTGTCTGTTCTTATTGTTTGTGTAATTCAAGAAGAAGGTAAAGAAATATTATAGTTTGAATATGAAACATTTCCTTGTATGAAGGAAAACATGAACAAAAAATGAATGAACAGTAGAATTGATGAAAGAATGAAAATGAATGATGATAAGATGAATTAATTATTGAATTATTCAGGGATAATATCTGATGCTGCTGTGGTGTCATTAATAATGGTGTGTGTATTATGGGCCATGAAACAAGAACGAATTATGACAACAAATCCACTTCAAATCCCAAGTAAATGGACTGAGTAAGTCACATTTAGTCCACACTTAATTTTAGTAATGTTTRTACTTCAAAATCTATGCAACGTCTCTTTTCTTTCTAGTTCGCTTGGAGGGAGATCATTCTTGTGGGTGCTCAATTCAATGGCATCTTCTAGTCTGAGTAAGACTTCAATACTTTGACTCCACTTCTCCTATAAAAATACATTGTAAATTTTACTTTAGAAATCAAAAGCGACATTACAACGATGGTCGTGAGCAAATTCTCTAGCGCTTTACAGGCTTTACGTTCATACTAGATTACTTAATTATAGCTCACAAAGGTGAATAAAAATATCGGTTATGAACGTAATATGAAGCCAGATAAAAAGAACAGAGAGAGAAAAAAAAGTTGGAAAAGTTGAAAGAGAGAGATCTAAGCATGCGAATAAAATGCGCAAAGAGCCGAACACCCGCAAACGTAAAAGTTGTAGGATTAATGAATCTCTTAAAAGCATACCAGGAAAAAACAAGAAATAGTAATACGTGTTAATTAATGAATAATAATAAAATACTAATAATAAAAGCTAATAAAGGCATTGTTTTTCAGCTCATCTTGGCCAAGCCCAAGTAATCTTGCGTAACCTGTTATCTSCAACATATCTCTTGCTGGCATTTACCAGGGTTGGAAGTGTTCTCGGTTGTTTGTGTGTTATCAGAAATGCTTTTCTTCAGGTATGATTTTAATTGCATCTCTGAACTCCCCTGGGTGATTGGGTTTTTTTAAAAAAAACCTGAGGGTGGTTTTGGAAACGTCGCATATAACGTTCAAAGCTATTTCTCTACGTAATCTACCAGATCTACATTGTACTGTACTTTCCTAACTCCTCAAATCCGACAAAACGCGGACTCTGATTGGTCAATAGAATGATTCCAAAAGTGAGATTCCTTTACCCATCGTTATCTCTAGGAACAAGATGAGGTTGATGAAGATTTCTCAGAAATAACTAAGACAACCTCGCCAAACTTCTGGACGCCTACATGGAACTCTCTTGTGGTTCGTCTGGTGTTTATCTTYGTGTACACAGAGTTCTTGTTACGGTCCATGCTCATTTCYACTCAACATTCAATTCATTTAACCTTTAATATTTTACCTAACTGGATAAGCTCTCTGTTGTTTGAGCTTTGTTATAAGGTTCGAGTGTGGAGGATATTCCAGTTATTTGTTACTATGATGACCTATTTATACATCTTATTGTATCCTAGGGAATCATGAATGCCGTAGCAATATTGAGTATACACTAAATGTTGTCGGGTCGCAAAAAGACGTCATATCATCAAAGCTAGCACCGAATGGAATTTTAGCTTACTCAAAACTTCGAATCATATTTGCCTAAACATGTAACAACATAAAAGTAAAATTCGATGAGAAGTTGCTATTTTACTCATTGAAGGCAATCTTTTTGAACTGAAACACTGTTTTGCTCATGATATTTGCCATGCTCTCTTTCGGTCTTAGCTTCAATGGTGTAACATTTTGGAATCGACTACATTTTTAATGTATTAAAATAGATCATATTATTCTTCGTTTTCAAGGTACCTCACAGCGGCCATCTTGGAGGAACCTCAACAAAAGATTTTATATTAGAATCTATTGTTCATTCCTCCAACATGGCCGCCGATCTTTTATCTTTTGAATCTCCTGGGAATGGTTGAAAACGATCAATAATAAAAAAAGACATATTATATGGATGACAGACGATGCTGGAATTGTTATGTAGAGAAAATATATAGAAAACTACTTCAGTCGTCAAGCAAGAAAAGGTATTTAATGTAAAAAAGGCCTGTAAATTTACAAATTAAACTATATAAAAACATCGTGTATGAAAAAGTATACATGCAGTAACTATGCAATGGTATTAATTAGTTCATTAATTAGTCATTATTGCGATCAATAAACTTTTGTAGAGACTACGGTGACATCTGAGGAATCAGTCTAGAACTTATTAACAACAAAGCCGTCTAGCTTTTAAGCATATCCATACGAACCAGTAAATTTGAAAGGCTTTTTTTCGGGAATGCACTTCGGACCATCTGGGGTTCCAAACCTTTCAACTTTCGCGTCGGTAAATTTCTTGTCCTTTGGTGTGATGACAATGGCGTCCCTTGAGCGCACAGATGGATCTTCATCAAAGAAGTTGAAAGGWCGTAAAAAGAAGCCCGCTGTATTTCCCGCCGTTGCCGTATTTGGAATGTCTTCCGTGTGAGGTACGTGCATCATTCCTGTTGTTACCCAGGCAACCAGGTCMTCATTTTGAATATTCTCGTTATCAGCATAAAATGTTTGGAAATCAACTTCAGGTTCATATGGATCTATCTGATTGAATATGGAACTGCTACACATTTCACTTTCTTTATATTTGGTGACGGCCATCTGGTACAATGCCCAATTGCATGATTTCATCAAAGGAAGCGATTCTGGGTAAATTTGTTTCATGATGTCACGGAGCTGAATGCGATATCCGCGGTGCTGGCCGGTCCTAGTGAGGTTGGATTCACTATAAAAGTTGAGATATTTGGGATGATCGAAGTTGTAGTTGTATAATGCGTCTTTTTCGGTAGTTTTGATACTTCGGCGGAGGACCTGATTCACAATTAACAATATATTAGCAAATAACGAGAAATTACTGTAATGATTAAGTGGTTTTTATTAACCCGTGAAACAACCACTTTTTTATTCTTTCTTTTGCAAGTTTTTTCTTTGTCTTTTCGTTTATTTTTTACATGTTATTTCATTTTGACATAGTAAACTATGATTTTGACCATTACATATTGCTTCCCGGGTTCAAGAAAACCACTCTATGTTAGTCAGCTAGCAGGACTTAAATCCGACCAAACGATTTATGACATGAAAAACACTGTCAATCAAATTACCAACTAATTAATCAACCGATCGGCTGAGGGTTAACCCTTTTCTCTTCACTCTGGAGAAGGTCGAAATCTAACCCTCCCAAAACACACTAAAACAGCATCAAAATCGAAAATAACCCCTCCAAAAATGTTCATAAACTATTAAACCATCTTTATTGAAGTTTTTTGATATTTCAAGAATGAAAAGATACGGTTTAGAAACGATATTTTGACTACACGTGAAAATCCGTTAAGTTTGTCGCCACAGGTAGCCCATCTCCCGTAACTCCTCAGAGACTGGTAAGCCTGTGGTATAAGTTTTACCTTTTGCGTGCGATTGAATGCAGGAAACCAAGGGTTTACTATGGTTTCTCTATCAATGTCTATAGTCTCGTATGAGTTTTTTCTTCCTATCACGTCCAAGTCAACTTTGAAGTTCAGCAAATGATCATGAACTGTCCCAGCCACATCTTTGTGGACTTCGTTCCCGTACGGAGACTCTTGAGACGYCCATAGWGTTGCTTGTATATAACCAGAGGTAGAAAACCGCACCTCTACCGTCCCGCTATTGTAGAATACGTAATCAAATATGTAATCGTAATTGTAGGGGGTACTGACGTAGCGAACAACMARCGCATAAGATGACATTCCTCCATAAAACTTATATCCACCCTTGAAGTCGTTTTCAAAATGGCGACGTAGAGGWACTCCTGTGTCAAACTCAAAAATGCACACCGCGTTCCTCATTCGTCTTGGTCGAGGGGTACTAACGTGATGGATGACGTCAACAAACTTGGCGGTTTCTGGACAGTCTACTCCAGGCACGAGTTCAAAAGTTGAAGATCCCATTGCCCATCCGCTATCCAGGTAGTCGGTAAACATTTGCATGGGAGAATGTGCTGAATAAAACGCACCAGCTTCTTGGAGACTTAGTTCGTAAGCTATTCGATTTCCGTCAAAAATCATGTTAAAAATCTGAAGGCCAGTTGTAGAACGAACTCGGAAATCAAAGCTCCAACCCATGTACTGTACGTGATGCCCCTGGACACTAAAACGACTTCCATCAGGTTCGTATAATTGAGGTCCTCGCTTTGGTTTCTTGGGGAGGGGGTCACCCCTTAGCTTATATGTGGAATATATTGCCTCATCTTCATTGGGAGCTTTCAGAAATGCTTTCTGAACAGATCCTTTATTGTACGCATCTATTAAACTTTGACCATTTTCAAAAGTCTTGTTATTGTAATAAATCTTTTCAACATTCCATAGAGTTGCGTCTGTTCCTGAGCAGTCGAATAACACCTCGAGTCCCACAGGATGAACATACATACCAGGTATGTCACGGACAAACCAAATCCACACTTTATGCTGACCACTTTGCAATGCAGCAGGCTGAGAATTGCTCCATGTCAAGCATTTATCAGTGCAATTGTGGTATGTATAACCGTCATAGCTATCATGCAGCACCGTGTATAGTTTCTCAGTCAACTGCAATAACATCTTTTCTACAATACCGAGTTGTATATCATCAAATATACTCTTGTGGAATGGTATTGGATGTCCAAGTTTGGAATACTTGTTGGGTTGACCTGCTGGCTCAACGATATATTGCTGTACTGTAGGGTCAACGTCACCGCCTCTGTTGATAATCACTTTAGCTTGTCTTTCAGGCCTGGGTCCGTGATTATCCAGGAAATTCAGCGCTGCTTCTTTTGGTGGTTGCTGGAGTTCAATCAAGTAAATATAGTTACTTGCGAGTGTCGCTTTCTCAAATGGAGTGACATTCAGGGAATTTTGGCCCAAGATGAAATCACGAACTGCAAGGATTTCCTCGGGACTCAAATCGTCAAATACTCCAGTTGTCTTCAGTTGATGTTGAACACGAGGCTCATCTCTTATCCTTCTGGCAGGACAATCCYGAACCTCGTCCTGTTTTACATTTGTATGTGATTGATAGACAACAATAATCAGTGCTATCAGTAAAGCAATACAAATAACTACCAAGCAAGCGATAGCTATGATAAGCTTTTTAAAAACCGAATAAGGATTCTTCACTATGTCTTTCATGGTTGAAACCACTACGTAACCTGAGACCCAGGCTGTCGAGTGGTGCTGTGTCTTAACTGATTTTAATGACAATAGTGCAGTGCAGACAGGTTGTAATCCCACGTCCACGTGACTGATCATGCATGACGAACCCTTGGGGGAGGGAGACAAGAGGGGGTTGGGGTTTGGGAACYCTTTTCGTTTCTCTCCATTTCTGGTTTTCATAAAATATTACACATGATGAATTCAAATTATCATTAGATATTACTACTGAGATGAAATTTTAGGTAATGAGAAAAATGAAATAGTAAAGTTATGAATACTTTTCTACTTAGCTCTAGTATGGRGCACTGTTTAATGGCACTAGCTCCTTAATGATAAAAATTATAGATAGTATTCTTGTTAAAACACAGAGATTCGGTCAAAGGTGTTTTTTTTTAGTTAAAACTAACAAAAACCACTTCGTGGAACACACCGGATTAAGTTAAGTGTCATAGAATTTTGCCGTGAATATATTTTTTTGTCATATAATTATCTATGAAATACCTATATTACTCCATTACGTAAAATTGATATTTTCACCCACGCCAAAAAAATGGAAGAGTACCATCCTACGGCTACGGCGAAAGATTGCGTTCCATATCAGGATATTTCGGGGGTATAGAATGGCCCTTGTAATATAGTGAGCCGGTTCGAGCTAGAAATTTGAATTCTTCGTTAGGAAGCACGTGAAGGACAATTCTTCGTTTGCAACCACATGTATGATAATTCAGCAAAAAGACCCATGTCAGGTTGTGTCTTGTACCTAGATACTTCAGTTGCCCTTTATTTATGGTTATGATCTCTGTCTGTGGCCACTTGGCTACTGATATATTTTCATTGTTATAGTCTCTATTTTTAACCTTGTATTTTTTTTTTAGAAAAAGATAATATAAGCTTGATATTATTATCATTTATTATTATTCAGGCAAAGTTACAACATAGTACCAACCCCGAATTATCTAGAGTAAATAAACGACAATGATTTTTCGCGAGAAAGTCCATCGCGCGTGAAACAAGATCTGAMATATTACGCACAATGCATTGCGACCAATGGCGCGAAAATCTAAACGCGTTCGCGCAGGTCACGAGTTCTTATCAGGGTATCATGGAGGTTAGAAACTGTTGTGACCTTTTGCTTCCAAATGTTGTTCTTTCTTCTTCGTCTTTTGGTAATTTTTATCAGTTTATAACCTAAAAAAACCTTGAAATGGACTTTCTAGAAGACGTTTTWTGACGGCACAATGCAAACTAACTGGAGAAAGAAGGTAAGATTTAACTTACTTATGTTAGCTTGATACGAGTTCAACAGCTGAATAAAGCTATCCGACGGGTGTTTTAAGCTTAATTCTGCCTGTGTAAACCGCCAACGAATACAGCTGCTTCTCGTTGTTAAAGGCCCGAAAGGCTAGCGTGTACCAGAAACTGTTGGCTAGGTTTCGTCGTATTTCTGGATCTGTAATCTTTGCTGTGCCCAATGGCCGGTTGCCGGTTCACACTAAGCGCAGAAGGTACGTGGCTCACTCTTGACTATTTGAGTGTATACTTAAGGTGTGYTGTTTAATCATAAGCAGAAATACAAGTTAATGAAAACATTTTCATATTCTTTTGCTTTTGTTTTCCCAGTTTACGCAAAGAAAAATCTCCCTTCTGCCTGCATTTGCTTATGCGCTGTGTGAACAATTTCGTATGAGTGGGAAACGGACGGTACTGTACTGTGACCGTAATCGTACTGTAACCAAATTCTAGTGCCCCATTGGTTCATCAAAATTGTGCAGGCCAGGTCCGGTAACTGTGCGGTAACCGTGCGGTAACGGTGTCCCACTCATTCGAAATCTGCTCTATAGTGACATAAGCAGAAACTGAAGCAGAAGCTTGTTCAAACTTGACAAAAGCATGTTCTTCTGCTTATGATTTCCCAGTTCACACTCATAATCTTTCAACATAAGCAGAAACATAAGCAGAAACATAAGCAGAAGAAAATGATAAAGTTTTCATTTTCATCTGCTTCTGTCTCCGCTTCTGTTTTCCTCGGTTCACAAATACAAAATACACTTCTTCAGCTTCTGCTTATGTCACAGTGTGAACCGGCCCTTTAATGGTTAAACAACTCTACACAACACGGTACACAAGAAAGAAAGGATCAGCTGATTTCATTAACAGCTTTCTGATCGCATTTCATCCATATAGATAAACATGATGCTTCATCTAAATATCTATGATTTGTATGTACTGAAAAAGTACTGATTGAAATCTGAATTTCATTTTACTGGGGCATATCACTGTCTACAAGATTATTATTCACCTACAATTAGAAAAAGCAAAAGGAAGGGTCTTATTCATTGAATACAAAATATGCTTTCTTTATTAATGGRATTTCTGTCAACTGGTGTGATTTCTGAGTTGTAGAAACTATCGATTAACTAGTGTTAGGCTGTATTATAAGCATTTCTAAAGAAACAGTTGTGTAAAAATATTAATTTTAACACTGTAAAAAAGTAGGCGAAACAATGGGACGTTAAGGAGGGAACTTTCAAAGAAACCAAATGGAACAAAATATTATCAGATATAGGTAAAGAAAGTCCAAAAACCTTGAGTGAGTTTCAATTGCCATTTTGATCAAAATCTCCAGCCAAATTTTTAGGTCATCTATCTGGCAATTATTTGCATCAAAAAGATGTTGGCCAAGATGACCAGGATGACAACGTTGATGATGTAGTTACAGCCATGCTTTATCCATTCATAATATAACTTTAATAGTATGCACAATGTGATTAGCCAAGACTTACTTCAAATCCATGCTCAATTTCAACACTAAATACACACCCTCATTTGGTGGTATATCTTCAAGGATTTTTTTAAATCTTCTAATTTTTCTTTTCTTAGTTGGAGGCTTTTGACTTTCAAATTTTTATCTGTGTCTCCAAGTATTATGGTCAAAGTCAGAAACAATCTTCTTTTTCTTGAAATGAAATCGATAATATAAGCACTAAAACTTGTAAATAATATGAARGTTGTCTTAACTTTGTTGATATAGTGGTTACCCTGGTTCCAGAGGCTTGTCTATTATTCTTTGTTTACTATTTTGTCAATTAACATTTCCGTTATTGGTTTGTTTTTACGCTAATCCTCTAGTTTCAAGCAAAGACAATCTCACTTTCATGCTGTATTTTAGTGAACCAATCACAGATCAGAGTAATATGATCTGTTATCTAGCTCGTATTCTCAAGTATGTTAAGGCCTGGTTCAGGCCAGAATTTGGTGCAAACTTTGAAAATTCATAAAYTCTCGACACATAAGCTTAACAACACCAAATTCAAGACGTAATTAGAATTCAGCATTTTGTACTTCCTTAAGACGAAACCGTGTCCTTAAACTGATCGCGTGATCAACCAAGTGATGGACAAGTTTTGAAGTCTAATTTAAAATGCAGTTGCCAGTATAGAGTAGATACTAAAACAAACAAATGAAACTATTTGCTTTTTTGATATTAATACAACATCATTGTTAAATCTAGTCTAACTATTTTCGTTAAGGAGATATTTAGGAAAATGGGTCACGTGACCATTCCTCGAGATTACGTTTTCGTGATTTTCGAAATATTTAAAATSTTGAGACAAACTTTGAAAGAGACATCTCTTTTCAATGGCAACCCTTAACTATTTAGCACCAAAATGATTTCATTTTGTATCAAACTCACGACCGCATTTTGAAATATTAAATTTCTAGCCTTAAGGTCACGTGACCACTTGATGTCAATATTGAACACTCTAAATTGTCAMAAACGTTAAATGTAAAATTGTGTCAAAACATGAATACAGTAGATGAGAACCATATCGAGTTATACACAAAAACACTGTTTTCAGCCTAGYCTCTGTGAACCAGRCCTTAACATACTCGAGTTGGTTTGTTTATTTCACATCTTTAACAGCTTAAATACAGCATGAAAGTGAGATTGTCTATGCTTAAAACTGAGGCTTGGCATAAAAACAAACTGATTAACGGAAACATCTTGCCGCTTCAAGGATCAAAACATGTGAGTGATATAGTGTGCCCCAGATGCATAAAAAAATTGGTAAGCCATCAAAAAAGATTTGAGACAAAGTTGAATAAAGATTTGACCTTGTCATAACAAAATAACATTGAAACCCAGGCAAACTACTACCAATAGCAATTGATATTCTGTGACATAGATAGCAGTATGATAATCTGATTGGCAAAAGACTCATTGGGTGGGATTAATAAAWAATCAACTTCTTTCTGATTAGTTAAAAAAATGACATTTTTTGACAAAATTATATTTTTGGTCTCTATGAAAATAATTACGATAAAAACTTGTGTTGACCTTTTCAGTCCAGAACTGGAAACTCTTAAGATCAGTTTACTTAGTCTGCTAAGTTTGATCAAATTTATAACTTCAAAGTGTTTGATTTTTTAAATAGTATTTCAGTTCACCTGAATTTGATAAAATTTTCAGAAAATAATGATAAAATGTGCTGTGAGTGAAAAGTTGTTTTTGTTGAAAAAAATTCAAAAGGTGACTGCATGRTCAGGAAAATGAAATCCCAGATCCCAGAAATATGCTGAGGATTGGCTAAACAAGTGTTTAGTACATTATTTATATTTTTTTACATACTACTCTACCTTTGCATTGCCAACCATATGTTCATTCTTCAATGCATCATAGAGGTCTTTTTTTTGTCATGAAATACTTTCTAGGAACTGAAAACCCAAACCAAAGTTGGTTTAGTCAGAATGATTATATACTTGGATATGGTTTTAAAAGCTCCTTCATGGTCACGTCAGTTTCTATTGTGTTTTCTTTTTGAATTGTTAATAATATTTAATGTTATAAGTTTGATCCTGCAGTGCTTAAGTTCTTCCAATAAACTTTAGACAATTCTGAATAAAGTACAGTCAAAACAAATTAATTTCAAAAGAGCTTCTTACCCTAAGGCGAATAGAATCGCTTGATTGTTAATAGCGGGTGCATTTGATCTATAAAAAGTCTATATATAGCCCAACCTATACACAGGCAACCCACAACACMCTATGCAGCATTGCAGTTACTACTTTGATTACAATACTGGTACTCCTGAAAGTTGTATGCAGGCTAGCTCTAGATTGAAGTGGCCAAGGTAAATAAATAAGGTTCAAAAAGGGCTAGCGGCAAAGACGCTTACTGTAGATTTTAGTAGACCTACTTTTCAAATTCTTTTTAACCAATCGGATTGTAAAATGGAAATWAACAAAAAAAGACTTTGACATTGTAACATGGTCTTGAACAACCAAAATGCTATGTGTTATTAAAACAATTGATATCGCCTATTTTAGGGCACTGGGTGCGTACTTTCTTATGATGCGTGCAGAGCATTTAGCTGCCGTTTTTAAAAGGTTTTTAGCGGGTCAATTTCCTGAAGTTATAGAAGAGATTTTTATATAAATGCGACGAAAAAAGTCGCGGGGAAAAAACTTCTACTAGGTCGCGACTGAAGAGCTTKCGCTGTATAAATGCAATTTAGACAAAGATAGGATCTGATCGTCAGGATACGTTTAGTGATAATGTTAAGGATTTTATTCAAAAGTYGGCATGTCATACCTTTAGTTTGTTGTGCGTCCACTCTAAAGTAAATGGCCCAAAACTTTTGCAGTTTGGATTTGGATAGTTTTTCTTGTGATATATTGAAAACACTAACGAAATCATCATATATGCCATTATTGAAAAAAAGAGCCGTTTTAACGTTTCACGCGGTAAGCGTCTTGGCTGACYACAAGCAATATCCTCTTATCATGTTATATTAGTTTAACTTTGTACGGATATATCTAGCGAATGAAATCCGTCGACATTGAACAAAAGAACGCTATTAATATCAAGCTTGAAAGTTATTTGTTGACTCATTGAAGCTGCAATGACTGCTATAGATTATCAAGTTTGAAAAAGTTTGTACAGACGTCTGTATTCTGGTGGCACACACTGCCCTCAAACTTACATACAACTCACTAAAATTGCGCGGCTTTGAATCCYTTCGTCCGAAGTTGATGATTTTACTATTTCGAATACATTTTATCCTCGGGAGGCTGGTCCGGGTTGACAAACCATGCAAGGGCCTATTTACTGGTATCTGTGCATATTGGGTGTACAAAGCACACCGTTCGCACCTTGACGTGTCAGTAGACAAATCATCGTCTTGAAACAGGTTAATGAGATAGCACCTATGAGTGGTTAATTGGTATGTGCCGACTTGAAATTTTATTGATAAGGGTATTACAACCACTCAAAAAAGATTAGGCAAYAAGTTGCTTTATTTTGATTTTGAATTTCTACTTTTCTTAAAAAAATGTCTCCATTTATGTCAACGTGCAACAAAAACGAGACATGTGCGCCATTGAGTTTAACAAAAGGTTGGTACATCCTTTGTCTGGTTGTTGTTAATTATCCCTATACCTTTCCGTATGCTGGGAATAGTCTGCGGWCCCTAGTAAGACATACTCTGCACGTTTTTATTGTGTACGAAGTTTCCCATTATCGACGGGAACAGCTCCAATACTCCAAAAGAAATACTACCCAAATCAGAAATTGAGATTTATTAAATTTTATGAGCAAAACTTTCACTTTCCGACAAAATTTGCCCAGGCCTTTAGAGAATCGGAAAAAATGTTGTACCGACTAACATTAAAACGTTTTCTGTGATATTTTTTCAAATGTGARTCGGCAATCGAACGATGTTGGGCGGCCTATGATATAAACCGTACAAAGACAAACCCACATAAAAGGACACAGCAAGGCACCATACTAAAGACAATAGTACCTGGGTTTTAGAATTCTTGTTCAAACGTCAAATATAGTGTCTACGTGGTAGATCCGGGATGTATGAGATTTTATGAGCCCTAGTGTACTCGTTAATGTGAGAAAGAATGTGCCATTTTTTCTACGGTAATTGAAAATAGTTCTCCTTTGTTTTCTTTTTGTTAAGTTTTATTAAATTCAGTTATTATGACTAAACTATCTATAATATACTTACTATCTCATATATAAACACTCCCGATGACTGGTTGTCACTATCATAGTGTGAAATACTCTTTAGTTTAGTTAGTGACTATTCCTCCTCCCCTTTCAGTCGTCCTTACAAATCAACTGTTGATGAGTAAGAACCAAATTATTCAAGTAATTTTCAGTGACCTAGGGGGAGCACGTGCAACTCCCTATAAAAGCAAAAGGTCCGCTCCACTTAGAGTATACCAGAATAACTAAAAAGTTGTACGAACAACAAATATGCGAAAAATCAGTCTATTTTGAGTGTAATTTATGAGCCTCTAGAAATATTAATTTAAAACGATTTTCTTGCGCCTCCAGCGTAAATGGCCACTACTGACGTAAAATGCTTTCAACAGCGCCCTCTGCGCGGTTTTTCCTGGGAGTGACATTTGTATATCATTTGTATCTGTTTAGTAGTGAAAATTAACGCTAGTTTACTGTTTTTACATCCTGCTCACATGAAATTCTCTGGCACTGGAGAAGTTGTCACATGTAAGATTCGTGGTTTGACTTCTATTTGTTTCCTGCCACCAGTGATATGTCTACTACGCGGACCCCTGCTTGTTAAGCATTGAAAGAGCCGATTCAAAGCCATAATTTACTTTCTAAATAGAAAAATTCCTTACGAAATAAAATTTTCCTTTATTTTATTGATAAGAAGGTCTATGTGAGGTCAGTTGTGAAAAAAGATAAATTKAACACCGTAAAAGAATAGGTGAAATAATTCTTTAGACGCAGCTCACACTAGTTTACCGCTAGTTCCCACCACCTATGTGAGATCAGCACTGCAATAACAAAAGTTTGTTAAATCGTTACGTGTCTCTTGAAGACATGGTTGAACTGAAATACTACATAATGGCGTTTATATTTCAAATACCCTTTGGTTTGTCTATACTAAACTTTTTGTACTTAATTGTCATGAAGGCTTCAYAAACTACAGTATTTCCGGCTTTCGCAGCTATTATTTCTTAACGACCACACCTAAGATCAAAAGTGAGGTCTAATATTTGTGTTCGGTATTTTCAGAAGGTCTTGATTGGCTTGGGATTTTTGTATCAACTTATATTGATTGTACAGTTTACGTGAACTCCGAAGAGAACACAATCAGCACCCGTTGTTCGTTAACAAATACCGCCCAGTTACTAACTACCCATTTACACTCCTTGTCACTGCGAAAAAACACTGATTCAGCAAATTCCACTGTAAAGTTACATCGCATGAATTGAATAAATATTATCCCATAATTGTACTGTAACAGTCTGGCTTGGCGATTGTCCGGCCATTTTAAAAGTGTTAAGTTTCTTTACAGGTGACAAAAGTCAATGTATCAATATCGGGTATTCTTTCTCTTCTCTTGTTAGTCCAACGAATCAAAACTTTACAGGTTGTTATTGAAATTTTCTGGTGGCTGTATTTTTGCCACGTTACTTGAATAGATAATGTTGTTTTTTTTCGGTAGCAAGTTATTTTCTTGAGCAAAAGCGGAAATATTTGTCCTTTTATGAAAATTGCATTTTCTATTTATAAATCCATTCAAATAAAAATTTATCTTTCTTATTCAATTTTAACCGCTTTATTGTCTGACTTCAAGTGTCGATCGACTTAACTCTAAAACTATATATATATTTGCAATGTTTTGGTACATTTATTTCGAGATTCAGGCGATTTTTATATGTATTACATTTCCTATCTCCATTTATGGTAAAGGGTCAACCAACAAATCACAAATGTTTCTTTTTCTTTACTTTTGACAGATTTTCTGGCCAAGAGGGATGCATAAACCCGTCACGGTCTGCTGAGCGACAACCACTGAAGTGTGTGAAAAACTCCGTCCACCAATCAGACAGGAGAACGAAAGCCAGGCGTGGTCATAAACAAAGGAGTAGGCGGGTAGCATTGAAAAGTAGATCAGGTGACTGATAGGTAATATTACCGTCGTGAAGCAACCACGGCGAACCAATCAGACGCCGTGATGCCGCACAATCAATCAAGAGCTTAGGTGCCTTTCCAAATGGCGCCAAATTACCATCGAACTCGAACCAATCGGAATATCAGATCCACGTGTCCGTTGGCCTATCGATTGTGTAGTTGTAGTTGTAGGACAAAATGGAGGAGACTTCCTCCACCATCCCGAAGAGCGATGGTTGCAACGATCCGGGGTAAGTGTACATTGGAATTGAAAGCAGCTACCTTGTACTGTACAGCCTTACCGACGTGACTCTTGGCTGTATTTCAATTCATGATCCGAGTCAGAAACCAGCTAAACAAATCCGACTGTTCTCTCAAGGGAGACTGATTTCTTTCTATGCATTTATTTTTTAGTAAGATGTTCATTGGAGGACTCAACTGGCAAACCACCGCAGGTTTGACAATCATCCATAACTTTCACTTGAATACTGATGTTTTTACTCGATATGTATTCGCATTTATTTGATCAAGATATACTTGTACTTTGATGCGGGTTTTCCTAACAACTCGATTGTGTAGTAACGGTTTTGTTATTCTGCTGTATTTCAGAGGGTTTAAGGCAATACTTTACCAAGTATGGAGAACTGAAAGAGTGTGTTATTATGAGGGATCCTGTGTCAAAACGTTCAAGGTACGAACTATAATGTACGCCTTGGTGGCCCAGACTCAGCCGCTTCTGCCGTAAATGGCATGTCTGAAAAAAATGCAATGTGCAAAGATAACGACTGTTTTTACTTTGTTTCTTTCATAGGGGTTTTGGGTTTGTAACTTTTGTCGAACCAAATAGTGTGGATATGGTATTGGAAAACTGCCCTCATGAGCTAGACGGCAAAAAGGTTAGATGACTCTATCTTATTTTTATGTACAACATTGAAATCCTGAGTTTATGGAGATTCGAAGCGCTGTCTGGAGGATGTCTGATTCGCCTACATCACGCTCGACGCGGCCTTGATCGATGTTCGCTTCTTAAAAATCGAGCAAATCTGTMATAGAATATGATTTCTTAGCAGTTCTGCTAAATCGAAACAAGGCTTTGAAAGTATTGATCGTGGCCTAAATATTCGAGCTTCAGCGGTCGCAGGACTTTGTGTGACCGGCTACTAATTGCATTCTGTTTTGTATTTTCTTGAATTAATGTAGATTGACCCTAAAGTAGCTGTGCCCAAGCGAGCACCAGTAAAGGTAAGATGGAAAATGTTAGGAATAGTTTTTTGGTTGTAGATCGAGCGAATAATTCGCTCGCAGACTCGATCTCCAGCTGTGTGAAGACATGGTTAGCCGTGAAAATGCTGCAGATCTTAGCCGCTGTAGTAACTTGAAAAGCCATGCAAGTGTTATGTATGTATTGGAAATGTACTGTGCTAGTGGTTTCTTATGTTGCGCCAGGGAAGCTGAAACTCCGCAAATTGATAGCTTTAAAAGTGCTGCTTCCACGCTTCCGCCGTTCGTAAACGATGTAAATTATTCGACTGTTTGTGTCTGACTTTGCAAAAGCTTTCAAGTCTCGATTATGCGGAGATAGGCTTTTGTAATTTACAGCTGCAGAGGCTAGAATGTGTTGTCTAGCTTCGACTACTGTGTTTTATTTACCGGATGCACAAAAGGCCGTCCACCGATCCGATGCCGCTTGTAGATGATTTGCCYCCGAGAACTTTTTATTGTAAGTCTGCAACGCCTACTCGCTTATAAACAAACTTCAAGACTGGTAGCTGCTATAAGCGAGCGAGGTTTTGCAAAGTTAAGACAAAACTTTGATGATCTCGTGTTAGCAAAGGATGCTGGAAAAGCCCCCTCATTTATAAACACGCGAGTGTTTAGCCCAGTCAATTACTTCATGTCTAAACCCACGAATCAAGGGATTTGTAAAAAATCGCAATCATTGTAGGTCCAATTGATTGATTAATAGCAAAAAAAATCAAAGAACAAAAGAACTGGTTGGACTTTGTTGTACCTGTTGTACTTATTTTCTACGAGATATTTTCTGTACCACGAGGAAACYCGATTGAAAGCGAAATTTAACACTCTTCGTAGTCGTTACCGGGAAACCGATGGTTAGCGCCAGAATTTTTACTGCCGAATCCCRCAACGGGACTATACATGTCAGTTCTAAATTGCATATATTTTTGTTTGTTAGTTTATCGGTAACTAGTCTATTGGTCGTTGGTTGTCACTTTCCTTAAATAAAATACAGTAGTGCAACCAGTTGTAGAAACATTGTTAGGGATGGCGGATTAGCGCGGCATATCTAAAATCGGTTACATTACATATTTCAATGACCAATAGAATATTCATAATAAATAAAGAAACTTCCTTATCGATAATCGTTGCTCTTTTTCCATGTTACTTCAAGAAATTGACTTCAACTCTAGAGTAATTAATTTTTTTTTATTTCCATATGAGTATACACTACAATAATGATAAATTCCAGTCTGTTAGAGTAATTACTTACATGATATAAGTCACACAGACTGTTTTAGTGTGCTATTTAGGTTTTTAGACTTGTTCTTGTGGATGATTGATGGATATTTTTTAGTCTCAATAGGGAGTCTGTATTGACACCTCGTTGATTCTGCAGTAAATACACTTAAATAGCTATTTCCTGAATCTATTTTCCAAAAACTTCCACCACTACACTGAAGGTGTTGGAATAAAATAGGATTAAGACTAATAATAAATATGTTTTTTAGCTTTGAAGACCTCAGTTTGTTTGAAAAGATTTCTCTGGTACAAGAGTCAGTATGTGACTTATGTTGTTCTTGAGTTTTAAATGGTGTAATATATTGTACAGAACCAATCAATATATTGAAAAGAACTGTTGTGTGTGCATTAATTAACACCTTCCAAATAATTCAATTTGCATAATAGATGGCTTAGCAAAGGTAAATTGGATTGCATATTTTGAATAAGGTCCTGGGAAGCCATGAAAATCTGTTGTTATTGTGAGACATGTTGTGCTTGGTCTAGGTCCTTAAGTTACTATTGTTTTGTAATTCTTTTGCATCTGACTTGACCTGACATTTGAGACCCCATTTGTGAAGCTAAGCATACCATCTAGCTTGGATGATATATTATTCTCACATTATATTGGAGGGAAGAATGCTTTAGAAAGAATCATCCCTTCTTTGAATGCACTCATGCAAATTATTACAGTTATAATGGCCTTTCAAGCTGGCATACTGAATAAATTATCTTAAGTTTGTTTTGTTGACTGACACAAGACTTGTATGTATTGTGCAATATTATTGACCTCAGGCTGTGCTAGCTAGTGAACATATACCAACATTAGCTCAGATAAGARTATTGTATATTATAAGGTTTTCATWCTMTTASCCTTAGAGCCCTATAAAATACAAGCTGCTTCAAGAAAATGTTAATAAAACCAATTTGAAAGCTTTAGATATTCATGTTTATTCTGACAAAAAGTGATGCACATTTTTTTTAACTGTGTTACAAAGTCATCTGGATAATCCTTGCATTGATTGGCTACAATTGTTAGGTCTTATGTTATATTCACTTTGAGTTGGTAGTTTTAGCACTGTTGTTCCTGACCATGTAAGGGATGAAAGTAAGGATTATAAGGCATTGATGCAGTGATAAGAACCRTTTTCTGTACTATGATCCTTAATCAGAAGACTGGTTTTCCTGTTTTTGATGTGAAATGTCACTACAAGGATTATAGACCATATGATATCTACCTCTTCACCTTGTTATGACATCTTTGATGACCAACCTAAATTATAAATATGCATCTTTACCTATTAGATTTTCCATAGTAATGCAGTGTTATCTTTCTCCTGTGGAGGTTTTTGAGTAAAATAATTTGTTTGTGTGGTGCAGTGTGTCATGATAATATTATTTTGGAGAATGATATGTCACCAGTTTGTCAAAGTTCTATTCATTTTAAGACTGCAGCTGTAGATTATTTAATTATGATAATATCATGACACTGTAATACTAGTGAATAAATATAACAACATATTTCTAAATGCAAAGATCTCTCTTAATAACACTAACAAATACTAAGAATAATATTAGTGGTATAGCATTTATTGTTTGTTTCTAACTTAGTTAGATTTACTTAACAAAGGATTAAAAACGTTTTTTAATCATAAAAGAACCTGATGAAAGATCTTTTTTTAGAGATTTTTACAGGTTTATGTAAGCATAATGTCAGTAAGGTCATTAGAGAGTTATACTCTATTGTTACCTGACACTTGTATTTTTGTTACTGTCAACTTGTTAGTACTCCATGATATAACTGACAAGCAGGAAGTATAAACCCTAATTGAAGTTTATTGCTATCATAGGAGTGTATGATGATCACATATCTTTGGAGATTTCTTATCAACAACTGTTTAAACAGAGATAAAATATTATAACAATGTTTCCATCTAAACAAACTTATTGTCCACTAACAAATGTTTTTTTTCTAAATCAACAGTCCAGTATTCACTTGCCATGCAAAATAGATATTGTGATAATGGATGTACAGCAAATAGTAATATTGGTAACAATAAGAAAAAAAAATCTTCTCAAAACAATAGTGAGATTGTACAAACAATGATTATTGTAAGTGTCCGCAACAAATATATTGTGAATTTCTTTTGGATGTTTTTTTTGTCTTTAATATTATGACTACCAGCAATATGACATTATTGGTTTTGACTATATGATTATTGTATGCTAGTGTCCTTCTAATCTGTATATGAATACTATGAACAAGTCTTTTATCACAGTCAACTATAATATTATAACAGATACCTTTAAGACCACAATAGTGAGTGCCAAACTAAAAAGGAGTTTTCCAGTAATGTCTATAGTGTAGAGGTTATAATATACTRTCTGAAACAGTGGGGTAACTGTGATAAAGAGTTGATCCCAAGAAGAGAGCTAACTGTGTATGTAGCATGTGTGAGAAGGCTCACAGCAGCCTAAAGCTATTTCAGGCAGCAAGAGTAAAACCTCAAGAAGTATAGAGAGTTATAATATATTGAAAAACATCTTTTATTTATGATTATTTATTGTTATAGATTTTATGAATTTGCATTTGTAAAATAATTTTAGTATGATCTTTGAACCAAATCTGAAAGGGAACATCAATATGTGAATGTGTTTTATGTAATTTATTAGAAAAATGAAGCATGCAAACCTACAATGCTTAATATAGATCTTTATATAGTTCAAAATGTATCACTCAAACTGACCACTACCAGTCGCTACTTTTGATGTTTACTGCTTTATTCTTCTACTTCATTAACCATGCAATAAAAAATACATTTTCATTAGTTTTTGGCGATAATCTATGGTTTACAAAAGGGATGCGATAGAAATGGGAAAAAAGTAATACTATCATTAGGTGGTGCTGCGTCGGCAGACAATCTTTTAATGATTTATAATAAATATAGAATGTATATATAGTAAGACAGTAGTTTTGATGTTGACCGCTTCCTTCTGGTACTTCCTTAATCATACTCTGAAAGAACTAAATCTCATATATTCAAGTTATTGATGACCTTCTTTTCTCTTTTTGTTATCAAGTATAATCAGCCTAATGAAGGTTAAATGTTTTAGCTAGTTTTAGACAGTCGCGTCTTATAATCTGTTATTTGTCATGTCAAAAATATGATAACTTCCAATGAATCATCATTTTTACAAGGTAGATTCTCTGATACGCGAGTCTATTTCTGCAGCTTGCCTTTACAGTGTATTTCTGTATATCATTGTAAATCATGGTAAAGGGTACACATGCTTTTCTATCAAAGCTGAACAAAAGAGAATAAGTTATTTTAACTCAGATTGTGTTCTGTTCTGTGTTTTTATTTGTCTGACTGAATCACAAAATATTCATATATAACTATCATACAGAAGAAGAGCAATGCCGAAATGCTGAACTATTCATTAAGTAGAGATATAAAGCTACAAGTTTGTGTTTTGTCTTATGATATTCTACCTATATATTGTACAGTAGAATAGAAAACAATTCATGCATTTTGCAAACTCTGCTTTATTGGGACGTTTTGGCCATTCAGCTTTCTTATGTATATGTCTGTTTTATATCTCTGTTTATTTCAGGATGTTTTAGCCATACCCTCAATTGTTGTTAGCTTTGATAACTCTTTGGATATATCACTTAAAGAATGATRATATTTATTACCCTATCCTATTTTTTTCAAGATGGTAACTTCAACTAAAAAGATATTTATTGGTGGACTATCTACAAACACCAATGAAGAGGATATGCGCAAGTACTTTGAACCTTTTGGAAAGGTTAGTTATATTGTGTTAAATATGGTTTACTGGACATGTTATGAATCTAATATAGAATAGTCTGCTATCATCCATTGTATTTGTTGTTGGTTTGCAATGATTTATGCACTATATTTCAAGCATTATCTGATCCTTGTCTGGTCTTCACTGTCTGGCCTGGACCTCGTGTTCGCACTGGCAAAGGGCCAGCTTTTTAATTGTCATTCAAATTATTTGTCTTAATATATTAAATAATCCTTTGGTCCTAGCAGACTAAGAGTGAAGTTCACTTTATGATTAATTTTTGTCATCTTGTAACACATTGAACTGCTAAGTGATTAGATAGGGTTTGTAAATTTAATTCATTGGAGGAGACAAAATTTGTTGATTATCGAACTATTCATGGCTTCTACTACTTTTTTTGGTCATATGAAATGTATCTGAATACCCAATCTCGTAGGTCTTGTCTCTTATTCATCAAATACAGCATGCACAAAAAAGAAACCTAGTCAATCAATGTTATCAGTATGTAGTGCAGATGCAAATGTTGGCATGACGACTGGACACCTTTACCAGTACATGTTAGATAGAATTAATTGACAATGAACCCATGACTTTGATATTCCTACCAAAATGCTGAGGTGTATAGTGTTCATTGTATTTAGTAGCAAAGCATGTTTGAGTTGGTAGAAGCAATGTCTTTTGAAATACCTCACAACCAAAACCATCAATAAGATTTGTCAGATTTTACCACTAATATAAGCCATTATTTAGGAACACTGTGCACAAAATGCTAATAAAGAAGGACAAATTCATTAGTGATTTTGTGTCTCAGCTTCACTGTTTTCATTGCTGATCACAAATAACCATAATATATAGGATTTGTTTTGGGGTCTGGCATATCTTAAAGTTATTAGCCACTAAGTTTACTTATAATTCTTTTAAAAATATTTGCTGATCAAATAAATATTTKATCATCTGCCATATGATACTAGTATATATCCTTAATAAAAGTTTAGGACTATTTCAACCAACATATGCAGATTGTCTGTTGTGCCTATAGCATTTTAGGATGGTGTTATGATTAATGGTTAAAAATTCAAATTAACATCCCTTAAATATTTTAGTGTTTGACTTAGTACATCAGTTTTTGTTTATTAATGTTATTGTACGGTGAGATGTGTCTGTCTATCAATTTCTTCATGTGGGGCAATAATTACTCAAAAACTGTCTTTTTGACCAATGTAGTGACTAACATACCTGTCAAATTTACCTGTGTATAGAGAAGAACTTGGAGGCTGTAATAATTGAAATTTCTTCTTGTAGGCATTTCTAACTCTTTTACCACCTTATCATCATAACAACTGTTTGCATTCCCAAATTATTAAACGTTTTAGTAATTTAAGATTTGCAGAAAATGGAAAATGAAGAAATTTTAAAAAAGCAATATTTTCCCTGGTGATCCCAAWGTAATTTCATGCAAAACAGATGCAGAAAAATAGAGTGAAATGAGGATTTTTAATGTTAATATTAAATTCTGCAATGTTTATGAACTTCTTCTTTTTGCTTTACTTTTTTTTTCAAGGTGTTTTGAGTTTATATAGTCAAACATTTTTGGATGGACTGCAGTGAATTGTTGTTAAAATGACTGAGTGATGTGATAGAACCTCTCAAATTCAGGAATATTATAAATTGGTAATTTTTTTCATTAGAGGAATCTTGTATTTTAAAYGATTTTTCAGAAGCTTGTGAAACAAAATTTGATATGAGCATTAAGTCTAATGATAATACGCTAATTAAAAGTGTATTTCACAGATTTTTGAAAACCAAACCACAGTATGAAATCTTAATGAAGACCCATAAAGTCTGAAGCCAACCAGGCAAATAAAATAAATGCCAACATATCATGTTAAATGAATTCCTCATAAATCATCATTATAATCTCATCATTATTACTGTGTTTACCCATTTCGCTATAGCAACAGAATGTTACAATCTTAATTGCTTGACGTACATTTTGGTTAAGATACAAAGAAATGAATGTGCTTATCTAGCTAGCTCCTATAGATTTATATTTGATTAGAATTGTTTTTATTGATGTCTAATTGAGCAAGTAGTAATCTGATGTGGGGGTTAGGTTAGGCTAATGTAGAGTTAGTCAAGTTAGACACTAGTTGMTATGATGTCAGAGCTATTGATCAGCATTAGTCTTATGATTTATCAGGCCTGGGTACTCATTTTTGGTAATTCCTGAGTAGAGAAATGTAGCAAATCAATCTGTAAATTTATATTCTGTCAAACACTACCTATGGAATACTTTCACTTGACCTTAAATTAYCTCCCCTTAAATCAAGAAGAATTGAAACTAGAAACATGTGACTTCTTGGTGTAAGTCAATCTCTATACCTTGTAACAGAGCATTTACATTGCATCAAACAATGATCACCATGCCCCTGTAATTTGTGGTAACTAATTATATGTTCACATTTTACTGGTACCAACGAGCCACAGGGAAAGATTTTAAGAACTCAATATTGGCAGATATCCAACAAAATGATTCAATTTACAGCGTACACATTATCCCTGGGGTCATTCAATTGTATACAACCTTATATTGATAGTTATTTTGATTGCAGGTAACAGAAGTAATGCTAATGATTGATAGAGCTACACAGAGACACAGAGGTGAGACATTTGAATAAAATCAAGACAGTTTAATGTCTCATGGGAGTAATCAAACAATCACCACAATAAGTGTTATTCTTTGGCCACATGTCTTAAGGTTGTCTAGCTTGTTAGTAAAACTTTCATATGCTCTGATATATATTGAGTAAATTGTTCTGTATTGATCAAAAATCTGATATCATTTTGTTATCTGATGTGCTTGATAAAGTGCACTTTTATATCAAGGTCAATGCTTATTATTGATATCTTTTTACTTTACGGGATAATTCTTGCCTTATTATATTGTATGTTCCTATTTGGAATCATAGTGATGATACAGTCAGTATATAGCATTGTAAATTAGTTGTCTATATATTTATTCCTCATTTTCTAGACCATTACAATTATTATAGTCAGTTCATTGAAGTTCCTAGATACACTGGTGGCCACTGTGTCTAGAAAACAACTTAAACTAGCAATAGAGACAATAGGTATCTTAGAAATCTATAAACAATACCTTATGGATTATTAATAATTATGCTTGCATACACGTAGATTAACTTAAATTCTTTAATGGACGTAATTTGATTGATTCTTCATAAGCAGTTATTTGCAGATATTTTTCAAGTATTGGGCTAGGAATATCAACAAAGTATTGCTTTGATTGATTATTCAGTGTATTCAATTCAAAGGTTTTCCTGTCATCATGTAATTATCAATGATTATCGTGATTATGTGCACAGGGTTTTATTCATTCAGCTAGCAACCAGGACACGTGGAACGATACAATAGCTTAAAATCAAAGTGATCTTTGAAAAAGTGGCTTTGCTGAAGAATCAAAAATTAAGGTTGTAAAAATCTCAGATTTTAGTGTATAATGTCTAATTCAGTGACCCTTTTTTAATTTCAAAACGAAAATTACCTTGAACAATGCAAAATGTAGAGTGCAAAATATCAACTTCACAGGAAACTTCGTGACATGAGCCTCAGAATTCTAATCCCCATGGTTTAAACAAGAAGAGTTCATAGAACAAATACTACAGTTGAATTTATTAAGTATTCTACTACATTGTTTTCACAAATGCTTCAAATACCTCAAAATTGGTAAAAAATCAATAGCCTTCAATTTTTTTATTGTATTTTCAAAGTTTTTTATCCTGAGGAATGTTAATAAAAAGTTTCAACAAATAGCAACAAATTCATTTACCCTTGAATGTTAGTTGAAACCAGATCTCTTCTCTTGTACTTTGATACTAATATGCTGCAATCCTTTCTCTAATTACAATATTTTATCACACAATATAACCTGCTTAGGTAGGGGAAACTAGGTTAATTTGAGAAAAGAGCAGAAAATAAAACTGGCACCACTTAATATGATTAACAATGAGACAATTTTATACCATCATCAGTGAATACTTGACTTGTCAGGCTAATTAGGGTCTAATGATTGATTCATGGTCACCAGTCTATTGTTATATTCAATGTATTCAATATACCATATTTACTCATGTATAAGCTGCACTTTTTTTCCAAAAAAATTGTTCCAAATTGGGGGTGCAGCCTATCTACGAAAAAAGCTAGTTTGCATAAATTAGCATTCACTGTGCTACTTAATAAATCAAACTAAAAAGTGTGTGGTTATTGAGGCAATGAACAGAGAGCATTTTCAATCGTTTTGTCTTGGAATTGTTTTGGTAAAGCAATGCTAATTTGCATTGTTTATTTAAGCGATTTTGTCACACTTAAAGTGAAAAATCCATTTGAATACCCAAGAAATAAGCCTAAGAAATTGTTCCTTATATCAAACAAATATAATCTGCGTTAATATTTTTTTGAAATACGAAACAGTTTTGGCACGATCCTTTTGTTTGGAAGTTTGGCAGCACGATGAGATTTATATTAATTACTGGTTTGCTTTTACTTTTTGAATGAAAAACAACTCTTTAATTATAGTATCAATTATCACTCTAAACAATTATGTCTACACGATAAACTCCAAGATAGTACACCGCACCATAAACTGGATGACGGAAATCGAGCAGTGGGAAAGCACTTTAAAATTGAAGAAAGCTGTGTTTGCACATAGTTAACTATGGTTCGCAGGTGGCAATCACAAAGAGGATAGTTTAATTTCCGTCTTTTATTTCCTCAAAAACATTCCCGAAACTCGAGGTGTGGCTTATTTATGAGAGCGGCTTATACATGAGTAAATACGGTATACTGAAACATTTTAAGTATTACAAAGTGTACCAGAATAACCGATAGGTAAATACACGTGAAAGAGCTTATGGAGACAGCTTATGTCAGCATGGATGTTTTGTTTTATCATAAGTGTCAGGGGGGTTAAGTGTAAAGTAACAGCATTTTGGAATAGCTGTACTGTTGAGCCACACAAAACCTAGAACAATTGATAGTGTTTTTTAACTCAAAGATTTCAAAGCAATCGAAGAGTTATTGGAGGGGGAGGAATCAGTCACTCTCTAAGTCAGTTATTCAGTAAGTCAGTCACTCACTTTCCTGTAAGCTTGAGCCTGCATTTCTTGTGTTCAGAATTATTAATTTATTCTTATTGTTTTATAGTAATTTGTTCACTAATTTTCCGTCACTGGTTTCCCTCGGCTATATTTCATTGAATTTATTTATTTTTTTGGCAAATAAAGGAATAAAAGAAGCGTCGACTCAGCTGGGTCTCGAACCTGGGCCCTTTGGGTTGGAAATTAAAGGCACTACCACTTGGCCACTCTTGTTAATGTTGAATGATAACAGCTAGACTTGTGTTTTAACTGGCTGGTGCTCGCTGCAGCTTGTCTAGAATCGAAGTTAAAATAATAAGATTTTAACGACAAAAAAACTACATTCATAAATCCTTTACTTAAAATTCTATTTGTAAAGTAATTATAATTGGATTCATCCTATCATTCTATATTTGTCTACACAATCAATCTTTGAGTTGTGTTGCCATTGGCGGCTTGATTATTCCATGTATTAAAACCATTAAAAAGTTCAGCAGCAAAAATCTTTTCCCTGCCATACTGTGAGATACTGCATTAGTACCTTAGAGATATATTCATTGATTAAGTGATGTTCTTTGCATTGTATAGGATTTGGTTTTGTATCATTTGAAACAGAGAAGAGTGCTGATGATGCTTGCACAAATCAGTATCACTCAATAAATAACAAAAAGGTGAGTCTTCAATCATTTGTCAAAAGTTGAAATGCTTGTAATGGTTAGCAGATCATTAATACAATAAAAAGGAACAGTCTTTATCATCGATAGTCAGAAATGAATTTTTAGATTAAGAGCTTTATCCATTGAGTAATGAATTATGCTTAAAAATATCATATAAATATCAATATAAATACTCCTGTTTTACTTAAACCCACTATCCTACAGTGCTAACCAATAGGATTTTGAATTGATTTAAAAAGCAGTAGTTTCTATCACGGTTACCTGCGCCATCTTGAAAGGTAGCTGTGCCTTTACATTGAAGTGAGACAACCCTTGAGCGTACAATGATAGATATCTGTGAATAATAATTGCCTGCAGGTGTGAAATTTAGTTTCTTTTCTTTTCTATTACAAATTATGGTTCTTAAATAAAATGTATCATCATTATTAATTAATTACAGTTACTGTAACTTATTCAGGAGCTAATGAAGATGATTAATTTTTATTATTATTGTTGTTGTTGTTGTTATTATTATTATTAATATAAGGTCTAATCCAGATTGTGTGTTGCAGGTGGAAGTCAAGAAGGCTCAACCAAAAGAAGTCATGTACAGCCTACAAGGTGGGAGAGGGCGCGCAAGAGGAGGGTTGTTTGGCAGGGGGATATGTAAGTCATTGTTTAATGGCCTGCCTTCCTAGATTAGTGCAATATGTCTAGTAAGCTTACCCTATAGATTCTGTTAAAAGACTTTTAAGGGGAGGTTTTTACATGAAAATGTATTAGTGAATTCCTTATTTCACTAAGGCACTGTTTGTCATGAATCATGGTTAATTTCCCCAGCAATTGCAATAATGTAATATGAAACTTAAAATCCTGTCAGCTGTAGTCTAAATGGCAACAAGGTTTACTGATTTTTCCTGTCATTATCTTTAGTTTATCCTCTGCCTGGAATTGGAAGAGCAGCGTTTCCTGTACCTGGTTTAAGTCCAAATCCATTCCAAGGTAGATATTTCTGTCATTAATAATTTGTTATAAGTATAACAACATTTAAAGTGTTATTTTGTTTCATTGAAGGTTATAATGCCTATGCAGCATATGCAGCAGCCTTTACAGCACAAGGTCGGGGCAGAGGAAGAGGGAGAGGGAATTATATTGCAGGATACCCAGCTATTGGTAAACTACACTCTCACTTTTAGTAGCTTTCATAAAACATAACATATTGTCATTTTGTAAGCTTGGAATAGAAATCTTAGGCAAACAGCAAACCAAGTGAAGCAAGCAGCCTTGTAATATTATAGTAACATACTTAAATTTTTGAATGTCACTGGCAAACCATGTGATACATGAGGGTATTTGTGATCAGAGGGTATTTGTGATACATGAGGGTATTTGTGATACATGAGGGTATTTGTGATCAGAGGGTATTTGTGATACATGAGGGTATTTGTGATACATGAGGGTATTTGTACCATATCAATAGTTAATTAATCAGCAGTCCAAATCCATTCTATTGTTCATTGGACACTCACAATAAGCACTTTTTCAGTCTATATTGAGAGTTGATGAAACTAGACATGCCTTTCTGTTTGGCAAATCAATTCAACTTTAACTCCCATTCTTCTATGAGAAATAAGTTATAAAAAGTTATTTTGGTTATTGTTGTAGTCATGTAATTTGAGCTGATACTCGAGTAGTTTAACCTTATGTTAGGGGAGCAAGGATGGCCGAGCGGTTAAAACGCCGGTCTATCACCTCTGTGGTCCTGGTTCGATTCCCGGTCCGAGACTATATGTGATTTGAGTTTGTAGGCTGGTTCTCTTCCTTGCTCCGAGGGTTTTTCTCCAGGTCCGCTGGTTTTCCTCCCTCAGTCAAAAACTAGCTGTGAGGAATGTCGTGTAGTAAAATAATGAATGTTGAGGTAGTGAGTRTGWGDGAATATATAGAGGGCCACAAGTTTATTAGTCTAGAGACTATTACGTGCTACCCTCTCAAAATAAAAGACTTTATTTATTTATTTATTATGTTCACCAAGCATATCACTCAAAAACAATGTATTTGCAGAACTTACTTTCTATGAGAAATAATTAGTGATAGACATTCTTCTTGTATGGTCCTAGTCCTCATTTCTTCTTCCTATTACACCACACCTTTTTAACTAGGATTTATTCATACCACAGGAAACCCAAGCTACCCTTATGCTTTCATGAATCCAGCAGACCAGAGACGGGGACCAGGTGGGCAATATTATGCAGAGTATGCAGCTATTGGTAACTCAGGGAGGGGTACTAGCAGACAGGATCAGGTTCAACAACACAACACAATACAAGATTATTCCCAGCATGAATATGGAGGTAAACCTTTCCTAAACTACAAAATGACTTGCTCACATGCATGTATTTTATGAAAATACTATAATACCTTATTAAAAAATTGTAAAATAGTTATAAAAACCATTTTATAAACCTATAAAGCACTTAAGGTGGAAAGTATTAAATTACAAATCCAATTAATGTTATAATACTTATTAATTTTGTCTTCAAACTGTTAAAGCAATTTTGCATTTGTCTGCTGATAAAGTACTTTTAAAATATTTGAAAGGGCTACACGAATTAGTAGATTGTTATTGTTGACCTTGTTGTCAGGACAATGGTATTCATGGCATTGATAGTAAAGCAGATTGATGATTGTATTGTTATGATTTCAGGTGGAATGCAGACTCTGAATGGATATCACCATCAAGGTCAGCATGGATATGGTCCACCCCCTACCTCACCTGTATCCAGAGGGTTTTCTGCTGCAACAAGTCCAGGACCAGTGGGTGTTGGTCAAGAAATGAACTATATTTCTGCAGCTGGTGGAAGTGGAGCTAATGAACTAGGGTTCTCAGCTACTAGTCCACAACAAAGTGCATTCAACCCATCATTACAGGTACCAAATATCACTACAATTGGATAGATTTTACACCTAATAATTAGTAATTTGTTTAAAAAAAGATGAGATAATGATTATGTAGTTTGTGCATTAATTGTGAGGGTTTCTTTTTCTTTCAGTTTTGACAGAGAACGTTTTACTGTAAGTTCCCAGCATTGTATTTTTAATTAAGTTTCTCGAAATTGGATGTTTTTCATTTAGTTTTGTTGTTTGTTTTTTTGATTTTATCTCATTAATGATGGTTTAATGTCTCTTCCACCAGATTGAATGAAAGCCCAAACTACAATGTAAGTTATAGCAAACATTTTTTAATTCATTAGAGCCAGTCCCTGCTAGGCTTTAATTCTTCATTTATATATCAACATAATTTGTTCCTGTCCTTCCTAGTGTACTGGGATATCAAAGAGGAACATATATATTCATTCATTTATTTGTTTTTCTGCTTTTATTCATCTTCACTAATAACCCAACATCAGTGCACCAGCGGTACAGTTCAAAGTTCACATAAAAATAAGCTTTACTGGTGTTTTGTTGACAATTCAAGCCTATGCCAACCAATGTCAATGCAGTTTCAAAGCCATAGATCAGTTTTAGTAAGAATCATAAATCTCTTAATTATTATTGTTATGTAGTGTTCCATAACAACAGAAATCCCTTGCTTTACTGGTTTAACCAATAGTCTTACCACAATGATAGCTGTGAAATGTATTTATCTACTATTTGTTTCAGTTAACTCCAGTGAATATGATACCACTTCCTGGGATATTTTTAAACAGACACATCAAATGTCAAATTGCTTCTGCGTAAGTAGCAGTCAAACTGTTCAAGTGCAGACCAAGACACAAGAGATAAGTCAAAAAATATCTTGCACAATTTTAAATTAAGGACTTTATGTGTGTTTTACTTGATAATAAATGGTATTTTATTTGTCTTTAATGGTAGCAATAAGCTGTATAGTAACAAGGGAAGGTTAATTTTATTACTTATTATTGTAGACAAAGATAGTGTGTCTTCACCAGTAGCATAAAATAGTATAAAATACAGTTTGAAATCTAGGCGCTTTCAGAAAAGCACATGATAAAATGAGACAACATTGATCTGTAGATGGCTTGTTTACTGTCTGAACTTTATGCAAATTGATCTTTGAAGCATTGGAAACTATAAGATTTTCTAAATTGGTAACACATGTGGTGAATAATAGATAATGTTACCAGTGTTATAAGACGATTGTGCTGGTTCTAATAGCGCTTGTTTTCAATGCCTTTGTGTTGAATACTATTCCTTAACAAATTATATTTAGACAATCCTTTGTATGCAAAGTATTTTCCACATACTTTTTAAGTAGTCTAAGCTAATATTAAATCCTCAGCCGTGCCATGCCTTAAAGCAGCAACCATGTGTCTGCCGTCAATGGGTGTGGCTTGGATTAAGAATGAGGTAAATAAGAGAGGGTAACTTGTAGGACTAGATCATCTTCCCTCACACCCCCGGTTCTTCCAGTCTATATGTTGTGTATTTTAAGCATTAAATGCTTCTTCATTCTTTTGTACTTTTTGTGGCATTATTGTTCTTTTTGGTCAGTTTCAAAAACTGGCATCTATTTAGAATACTGAAAGAAGTGGGATACCTTATTTAACATGGACATAAATTATACCTTTAGCTTGTCAGCCTTGGTTTATGGCTGGTCATACTTCCTAGTTTATCTGATTAGTGAATAATAATGGACTTAATATAGTTTGAATTGACTATTACATCGGTAAGACATGGATTGTAATGTTCCACTACGTATTATGAATGACTATAGAGATAAGATATCCCATTTTAAGTTTGAGAAAACTTAGGAAGTCACCTAAATGTGAGGGAATACTAGCAGAAGTACACTAGCTAGAGTGGACAAGAATAGCAATACGTAACTAGTTAATAATTCTGTCCAAGAGTATTTAAGTTTTCTCAAAAGAAATCAAAATTTGAAGAATTAATATACCCTTACATTTCAAAGCCAGGCCAGTGAAAGAAATGAAAGAGAAAATGAGAGAGAATGAAAATGAGTTTATAAGAAATCTCTGTTACCAATCCCACCACTCTAATAATGTGTCATATAATCATGATATTACTGGTGTAGATATTTCAAAGTGGTGGTTGTATGTGAAAGCCCTTTTCGAGGGGACCTTTAATATGTTGGAAGGATTACTGTCCAGGTAGTTATGGTATGTCATCTTAGGCCTGGCTCATGAAACAAAAATTTCTACATCCTAAAGAGAAAAATTATGAAATTGTACTCCATTGCGGAGTGCTCTATATTTATTATTCTATTCTTCAATTATCTATTGTCCTTTTTATTGTTTATTTTGACTACACAAGATATATTGTGATACAGAAGCTTTGTCCAGGACCATTCATTTATTAATAGTTTAGATATCAATAATCATGTTAACCTCAACTCGTGTGCATGCGTAAACCATTATTAAACGTACATGCATACACTAATTAAGACTGAAGGGTCCTACCTACAAAAACATTGATTTTATTGACACTGATGTTGTTCAGGTAGCTATAGAAAAAGCTATATTGATGGATATGGCCCCTGAACATATCGAAAGAAGATCAATATTTTGCAATAATTGTTGTCATCTTGTGATCCTACAGGGTTTTTGTGTATGTGTGTACTTTCATCCACTTACCCAACACATGTGTCGTACGTGCAGGCTTGTGTATGATTATGTACAACAATGTCTAACATTGTCCAGTACACTCATTTGACAAGCTTTTAGCATTCATAAACCTTAATATCCCAATCATGTCAGTGATTTGAGTTGCATGGGCTATCTTTCCAAGAAAGAGTTTTTTCTACCTAGTGCATCTATTTATAGTACCATAAAAGATTGAAATATTTACCATAATGTACCAGACTTGTCTTTTATGGCACTAAAAATATAGGTTTCAAGGTCGCTGACAATAAGCTTCGTATCAATTATCAGAAGAGAGTTTGTATTTTTGCAAAGGAAGATTTTTACAGTCGAGAGAGTGGTTAGTAGAGGTAGAAGATGTTTGTTTATGTCGTACTCTTGTAGTTGTCCTTGTGGGGAGGTTAGCTGAATTAGGAGGTCATGATTCATGTGTCGTTATTGAAGATTAAATGAAGGTTTTTGTTTTTATGATGAAAGGGTCTTTCATAATGAATCTTCCTCATCCCTCCCTACGTCTGTTTCTGTGCTTTTCAAGGGGGTGTGCTTTCCACATGGAATGCACCTTATTCATACCATCTGTAGCTTTTGATTAACTAATGTGCCACAATAAAGCATTTAGTTCCTGATATTAGCAATGAAATAGTCATTGCAGGTGTCACTATGACACTTACTTGTGCTTATTTTACTGTCTTAATGCTTAGGAAATAGACAGACAAAAGAACCTATGACTAGAGAACCATTTCTCTGATCATTTCTTCTTGCTTTAGTGAAATATCTGAGTTTAATTATAGTACAGTACTTGTCTCTTATCATAACTATAACTCAGGCCCGTTCAATGCTGCACCTCTTGAAGTCCTTAGTTTTCCTCCATAAAACACTGCCAGTGGATGCTAGGATTGTGTGAGAGGGCGCGTTCTCAGAACGGAATTGAGATCAGTTCGGACTGTACAACTGCCTTCTTGTAACATTGCACTGTTCACTACTGTTAGCATATCTACATTGTACCATGTGTAAACCATAARTCATGTGGTTTACTTACTTATGTGCTGTTACTCAAAGGCTACAGGTACATCGTTTGGAAACGCAAGACAAATCTTGATGGATTTAGATTAAAACTCGAATAGCTAGATAATGAGAGGATTTCATATAATATCATTACACTATTATAAATATATAAATATACATGGTGTTTATATGCGGATCTGCATGTGATAGAAGTACATTGAAGTGACGTATGCTGAATTTTTCCATTTTTTTAACTTACCACATTTTGAGCTAGTAATTTAATTTTTTTTTGCACTCTTGAATTTTCTACTGCAATAGGCATTTTAACACATGTATTGCGTAATATCCCACAAAATTATGGAGATCTGATAAAAGCTGCGTTGTTCAGGGCATTGGTTTTCCTGGCCATAATTTGTTGGACATCTTTACTGGTGCGTTACCCAAGGCAGTAGTGATACTTATCTCAGCTCGTGTATGAAATAAGATTTGCAATAAAACTACCAAAATCTTTTCCGATTATAAACACTTACAATGTACTTGTGTTGCATGGAGATCATGTTTGATAACTAAAAACTTAGTGTATTTTATTCCAAAAGATAACAAGCATATATTTTCCAAATTTTCTCCAAAGTTCGTTTAGAAATAAAAATTACTTATTAAGCAATAGGTACGATTGAATGCAGGCTCCGGGTAATCAAGCTGTTCTGTGTTRCCTGTAAAAGTAGAGGGAGTGTCAAATAGTGTTCGTTCCAAGTTAACAGGACAATGGAAGTAGATTGCACGTTTAGCTACGCATGTGCGTGCCCTCTCAGTTTTAGCACTCACTCACATTTGTAATCACTAAAGCCGCGTTCAAAGTTATGTATTTTTAAAAGCGTAACATTTTTGACAATCCCATCTACCTGCATTGTGCTCCCATTCAAGTTTTATCTGAGCGCATGTGTAGTTAGTTTCTGTGTACATGAACTGGTGAATATTTTAGTTTTAATCTAGTTTCGTCGATCTTTATATCCTGCTCGTAATCTAGTCCTCCGAACGTGTAAATGGCCGTAATTTGATTCAAATAAAAGACATTTGTACATATTTATATCTCTTGTCTCTAAATGTCCTTTTTGTCTTGTGCAATAGAGAAATCCGTGAAACAAATAGCACCAACAGTATTTACCATGAATTGGCAATAGTTGTTTCACGGATTTAGT